AGAAAATCTAACGGTGGAAAAAGCATAGGAACACGTGATGAACTCACTCACAGAGCGTAACGGACCCCGTCTCTCCTTTTATCTCTGGGCTTCTTTCTTTTCTGGTCATCTCAACTGCTACACGTAGATGCCGTAAGCAGTCATGATATTATAACATCCCACACGCAACCCTTCCCTCCCTCTTCCTCAAAAATCACAAAACAAAATTATTATGCCAATCTTTCAAATAAGTCCCCTAACTATATATGTATTCTTGATCAACTCCAAAAATAACTTTTTGTCTCAATTGCATCCATCCTTTTTCGTCCCCATAGATATTATTAAGACACAGCTCAAGACTTAGGCACCGTTTGTTTTGACTTTTTAAATTACATTTAAATGCATTTTAAAAATATATTTGGCTTGAAAAAAATATTAATTAATAGTTTTTTTTAATATTTTTCAATGATTTTGATGTTTTGTTCAAAGTAGAAAACATAATATAACTTTAAACAAAAAGTATTTTTAAAAAGTATTTTATATGTCTGTCTGAAAGTGTTGCGGTTGTTTTTAAAAGTAATTTTTGTGCCGAAATACATCAAAATAATATTTTTTTTTAATTTTAAAAAATTATTTTTAAAATAAGAATATCAAAATAATTCAAAACATATAAAAAAAAATTAAAATTTTGAGAAACGCAGTGCGATGCCATAATATTAAATATACATCTGACATAATTTTTTTGTACAACTAGTCACATTTTTTTTTTTTATTATTTTTTGTTTAAAAATAATTAATTTTTTTATGTTTTTGTATAGTTTTGAAGTGTTGATATTGTAAATAGTTTTTTTTTTAATATTATTTAAAAATATTTTTTAAAATAATATTTTAAAACTGTAATTTCAAATACAAACTTAGAATTCATGAATAGTTGGTGACACACTAGGATAGCCATCCATGATTGAAGACCACTTTTGCAAGTGGTCATTCAAAAACCTTTTCAAACAAAGCACCCAACTCTAAAATTTCATGGAGTTCAATTTTTTAATACTTTAAGGACCTGATTGAGAAAAAAGAGTTTTTTAATGACTAGTTCAAGATTCGGTTTATAATTTAGGGACTTACTTTGGAGGCTAGCCCAAATAAAATCACAAAACCTTCTCTTCTTTTAATTTTTCATATTTTTTTCTCTGCAAAAAGGGAGAGAAAAAAGAAATACCCTTCACGCTATTCAAAGCCGCGTTTCACTTCCCTGTAAGGACCCCTCTTCTCTCTCCAGGCCTCCTTCTGTATATATAATAAGTTTATTTGTTTGTATCTGTGATCTAAGGCTTTGAACTTTGGTATTTTTAACGATGATTTAAGGTAAAGCTTGAAGCGGGATTTTCGTTCTGTGTTCTGGGTTTTGATTTTTGGTTTCTGGGCTTTTAATGGTTTGTGATTTCATGATCTGCTGTGGTTATGTGGTGATTTTTTGTTTGGTTTCTTGGAAACTCGAGGAATGTTGAAAAGGGAGGGGCTCTTCGCATTTTCTTTACAATTGAAATGAAAGTTTCTTAGATTTTTGAAGGTTACCGGTACCAGTATTAGTTCTGTCATGATTAGCTACATGAAGGGTTTGTAGAAATGGATTTTTTGTGGTGATGAATCTCGAACTTTATAATTTGGGGGTTTTTTTTACCTTTTTGAAGTCAACAAAGAGTGTTTTGTATTTCCTTCAAGCTGATTCTTATGCTAGGGAGGCCCTTTTTGAGTGTTTTTGGAATGATTTAGTTTCCGATCCCAGAATTGCCATGGAAAGGATAATGTGTATCCATTACTTATTTGATTAAACCATAAAAATGTAAAAGGATTCTTTGTTGCTTTTATTCTCATGAAAGCATGTGTTGTGGTTTAGATTTCTGAACAATTGATGGTTTTTTTTTCCCTTCCTGATCATGCCTTCTCATATCGTGTTCGATTGTTTGCAGTCAAGTAGGTCAGAGCTCTTTGCGCGTGTCCCGTTCTCTTCTCCAGTCCTCCACAGATATTTATCTAATTTTAAAGTAAATTTTTATTGCTTCTTCAAGTTTATATTTGTATATCGAAATGGAGGTCAAGCTATGGAATGACAAGCGCGAGAGAGAAATGTATGAGAATTTTGCCGAGCTATATGCAATAATAAAAGCCACGGAGAAGCTTGAAAAGGCATATGTTCGTGACATTATATCCTCATCTGAGTATGAAATGGAGTGCCAGAAACTCATTGCCCATTTCAAAACTTTGGCTTCCTCTCTGAAAGACACGGTCCCTAGCATCGAGCGCTTTGCAGATACATACAAGATGGACTGCCCAGCTGCCATCAACCGGCTTGTGACCTCCGGGGTGCCTGCCACAGTGGAACACCGTGCTGCTGCTGCTGTGTCGTCTACGACCTCAGCTTCCATTGTGGCCGAGTGTGTCCAGAACTTCATCACAGCTATGGATTCGCTGAAGTTGAATATGGTGGCTGTGGACCAGGTGCATCCTTTGCTTTCAGACCTCTCAGCCTCACTGAACAAGCTGAGTATTTTGCCACCTGACTTTGAGGGGAAGACAAAGATGAAAGAATGGATTTTGAGGCTGTCTAAGATGGGGGCTGCTGATGAGTTGACAGAGCAGCAGGCCCGGCAACTTCATTTCGATCTTGAGTCCTCATACAATTCATTTATGGCAGCTTTGCCTAGTGCTGGTACTTGATTGATATGATTGCTTGTATATTACTACGCAAGTTCATTGGATTTGGGTTGTGCAATATATTGTTTCTTATTTGCTGTCGCTACGTAGTTGAACCTTGGGTGATGATGATGAATCAGAGGAGTTTCTTATTTTGTAACTGCTTATACTTTTGGGAAGGGTTGCATCGAGGGCAGGAGAATGGTATTTTGTTTCCCATTTTAAGAGAGAGTATTTGTTGTCATGTATGAAAAATTGGTTTGTACTTGTATTTGTGTTCATAAATTGTACTCTAATCTTCAAACTAGATTAGAGTTATCAATTGCTTGCATATCTCATATATTAGACCACTGCTGGATCATGAAATTCAATGTGATAAGAAGCTTGATGTCGATGTATTCTATCATGGTGTTGATGGCTCCATCAATACAGCTTAAATCTGGAATCAAACTTTAATCTTGTTGAGGGAGCATTGGCTTGATTTTGAAAAGGTTGCAGTGTATGTATAGAATCGCAGCAGGCCTGTCATCACAATTAGTAAATCTTTACACTGTACAAATCTACAAGGAATCTACTTTTCCTGCTTGTACTTGAGTCAGACGGGTACATGACAGCCTAAATAGTCCAAATATTAATTCTTCCTTCTGTATTTGATGTGCCTTTTTGTATTTTTAATCTTTCCTGTCAATCGTGCAGGGCTTCTGATTTGATCATATTGTTGTGAATTGTCATAAGCTTTTCTCTATCTGTTCAATAAATTTTTTTGATAGGCAAACTACCATACTTTTGGATTTTTTTTTAAAAAAAAATTATCACATGAATTGACATAAGTTCATTTGGCAAAATATTTTAGAAGGTAGATATTTATTAAATTTTGTACTTAGTCTTGTTATATTTTAGAATAACAATGTTTAATAAATGTTGTTTTTTTAAAGTGTAATATGGTTAAATTTTAATATTCATCTCAACTATTCAACCATTTTATATAAAAAAATATAATTTTATAAAGATTTTTTCTTTTAAACATATATTATTTTTCAAAATATATATTTTTATTTAACTTGTTAAGTAAAAAATAGACTCTAATTAAAATTTTATAAAGTTACTGTTTATATAATAATGAATAATATAAGTAGTCATATGTAAATTTGTTATAACTAATGAAAATATACTTTAAACAAATTATATGGATGGCTTAACCGATATATTTATAAATTATCAGAATAAGTCTAAGTTTAAAAAAAAGATTTGATCATCTTAAGCTAAAATAATATAACTTAAAGTAATTATAATTTTTTATTTAAAAATTGGATCATGCTTAAAATTTTTATAAGAATTTGTATTTTTTTATACTAGCCACTAAGTTGTTACGTAAATCTTCAGATTTTTAGATATAAAAAATCTAAGGCCCCATAATTTTAATAATTTTGAGATTTTTATTTATTTTTTAAATCAGTCAATTAGTTGAAAATGACACAATTTGATCTTATTATATTTTAGAAGTGCGACACTATATGTTATTTTACTAAATCTTTTTGAAATTATATCAATTCATTAATATTTTTAATTTATTATGTTAATTGTTAAATTTATCTACTTTTAAGATCCTAGTTTGTCTAGTATAAACAAGGGATCTAACTAAGAAATTAATAAAAATTATTTTTTAAAGTAATTTTTTACTTAAAAATATATCTCATTCAAATAATTTAAATATATATATATATATAATTTATTTCAAAGCTTTTTTTTTTCAATACAACAGGACCACAAAATTAAAGAGTACGCAGGTCTAATGCTCGGCCTAACTTATGTATTGCTCAGCAACACCAAGAATTATTACTATTTTGAGATGCATGCATAGTCTTTTGTATATCCATCCATAAAATGATGAAGGTATTCACGCTTCTGCAGCGATGCAGAGAAATTCATCCATTGACCGCAAGATTGATAGCTTTCTATCTTCACAACATTTTTTTTCTTGTATGCATAATCAATGAGAAGAAAGAGAGGAAAAAGAAAAACCAGCTGACAGGCATGCGATTTCTTTCAACGAGTCTTAAATTAATTTGATATTACAATGACTGTTCATCATTCTCTCGAGATGGCGTCTTCTCCCCAGCAATTACATGTGCATTTCAATCAAACTGTCACGGTTTCTGCCAGGACCTTCGTTAGGGTTTTTTGCAGCGAAACTTCATGCAAAAAATGCCAATTGCCTCTATAGGGGTTCCAAACAAGAAACATGCTTTAGGATGCCTGAAAGAGGAGAAAGTTCCCCATCTTCCTTACAGATGTGCTTACGTCTGAGAAATCTAAATTGCTATCTTGAAAAATAGAACAAAGCTTTCCAAGATAACCTTACAACTAATAATTTTCGGTTGGGGTTAAAATCAAATATGTTTTTCTTCTGGAGTTCAAAAGGAAATCTGCACCCTCTCATTCCTACAAGAGAGCCAGGAGATGTGGTATAAATGGTAGTAAGAGGACAATGATGAGGACAGCACCGGCTACAATGGCGATACACGTCCACTTTCGAGAGCTCTTCTGATATTCTCTGGCCTCAGAAAGCTGCTCAGTCCCTCGCCGCACGAACGAGCTAGCATGCGCAACATGACTTTCAATATCATTGATCTGATGACCCTGAGCTTCCACAAGAGCAGCCATATCCAAGAATACCTGGTGAAGCTCAATCAAATTCTTCTCTATCTCCTTCACAGCATCATGTCTCTCTTGAATTTCTGATATTGTGTCAAGAATCTGGCCTCGCCCTTGTTCCTGAATTGCCTTTTTCATGAAGCTTTCACTTTCACCACTGGATATCAAATTCTCAATCGTTTCTTCACTTGCTCTTTCTCCTGTGATTGTGAAATACCTACGTTCCACTGTTTCTTTATATTCGGCTGCCATTCTAGTTCTTAAATCCTGAAAATTATCCATAAGATCCTTCAACTTCTTTCCCAAACCACTAACCACAGATGTCCTGGTTCGATCTGCAGATGATCCTGGACCGCACCCAGGAATGTTGCGGTGAGCTGCATTGGATCGATCCAAGGCTTCGAGCTTTCCCTTGATGATTTTAACGCGTTTCAGGACTTGTTCGACATCTATGTCCATCCGCGAACGAAGATTTTTCATGGTCTTGGCATTATGAACAATCTTACATTCTTCATTGGCTTCTTGTAAACTCTTGTACAGCCTCTCAACAGTTTTCATATCTTCCTTAACATTCTCGACGTCTTCAAAGAATCTGTCAAGATTCATACTCTCCTTCCCCGCCTCCATGTCATCCATTTGCGCCTGCTGCTTCAGGTCGGTATACTTCTTGAACGAGCTGGAGAACAAATCATTCATCCTGGAAGAATACAATAATCAACCCTGCTCTTCTACAAATGTATTTGTTTTATGTTGGCGGAATCACTGGAAGATGTTTATGAAAAGCCAGGATTAAACAATCCCTGTTCTTCTACAAATGTACTAGTTCTTTAGGGGTTTTTTTGTGATCATCTTCCACTTCTTAATCCAGAGCCTAATGAGAAGAAGGAATGGCAAAGGCAAGAACCATGACCAACAAAATCTTCCCTAATTTCTGGCTTGAGGTTATTCTGAAATTAGAACCCAGCCAAATTTTGACTCAAAGGCCGTTTATTGCAAAAGGTTATCAAATATATGTGACAACGGGCTCCCCCTTTTCATTGGCAACCACTATGGTTTTGCTGACTTGGTCTTCCTTTTCCCTAACCTAAACCACAAAGCTAAAAATAGAGGTTGCACAGCCTATCAGAATCTAAACTACCAAAAAATGATTAGGAAGACATTTTTAATATCTCACGAAAAAAATGATGGAGCTCAACTATTAGTTTTTGATGCCTACGAAGAAATCTTGGTTGACTGCTTTCCATGACTTTTTTTGCTTATTGCTTTTTAGCATGTTTGTTTTTAAATATTGATGAAATAGAACAATTACAAAAAAAAAAAAAAAAACAAAAAAATTAGTGAAATAATTCGGTATATTTATGACACGATCCTTCATATTTGCTATTTAGAATAGTGATTTCTAAAAATAAGCTACACGAAGAAAAGGGAAGAAAGGAACAAAAAAAATCTAATACTTGCTGAAACTTCAATTGCAACGATAGAAACATCTCAATAAGATAAATTTTGAGTTGACAACACCAGAGACAACTATGGCTCCAAGCCAACATGGAAGGTAGGATAAATTATCTAAAGAATAGTATGATGACATGGTGACAAGATACACGGGGAGACAGAACAGTTAACAACCAGGCAAAAGGTGTTGTTTCAACAGTCAAACATTTGACCAAATGAACGATGGCAGAAACCAACTCCATACATTTTTTGGTCAGGAATAATAATCTTTCCGAACGTGATGGCGAATCATCAGAGACCAGCTTGAAAGACTCGTTTGAAGAAGGCTAGAAATCATGCTGACATGATATGGGTATGGGCGCCATGTTCTTTCAATTCTTTTGGAAAAGAACACGGAGCTGTTCTCTACAGATACTTCTACCTACCAGATTGTGAACATCCACTTGACATTTCAGTATCTTCTATCCAAGAAATGTTTCATTGAAACAGAGAAAAAAATAGTACCAAAATAATCCAATACAGAAAACTAAAGGAGACTGCGTAGCTTGTTCGAATCAGAACCCCCATGTTGCAGTTGTATATCAACTTAATAGAGCGAACAAGCTTCAATTTTCTTTTCACTATGAGCAAAAAGGCACAAGCTTAATCACGTCTTCTGTGTAAGGGTGGCAGTGAGCTTCTAACAGTAAACTACATTGCTGCAGCCTCCAGCCCACTTGATTGAACAATCAATCATCTTCTAAAAGCATGTCAGTGTCCAATTGTTTTAGCATAGAGAGGATGATATTATATAGTACGGACCAGTAAAATATTGGTTCTCCCCCATGGTTGTCACTTTCCTGCCCCCCTACTTTATGTACAGAACAACGAAGTTAAATGCCGATGTGGACAAGTATGCCACGAGAACTATCCTCGCATTCAATCAATCATATGGTTGATGCCCGTGCACGGTTAAAGGCATTATCTATCCAGTAGCTGGAGTGGATGCGGATGCGTTCATGGAAAAAGCCGAGGGATGATCCTTGTCAGCATCTTGATGGTTGCTGCCAAGCATAATGACATCACTGACCTTTTCACGTGTCCCCCCACTTGACAGCATGTGATTACCGGAAGGGTTATTGTCACCATCCGAGCTTAAGAATCTTTGCATCCTGATGTATGTCTCAGTGGCATCCTGGAGCATTCTCATCATGCCTCCAGAATCTGAACCAGGTGACAATTCATCCTCCCTCTCTGGCTGGATATTCAGGTCTATTTGGCCTTTAAAAGGTGAAGTTGAGGATTTCATTCTGTTAGGATCATCATCAGAACCTTCACTGACTGTCTTTTTCTTGTTCGGACTGCCACTTTCACTCCCTGTGTTGCTAGATGGTGAGGGTTCATCATCAAGCAATTTCTCACCAGCAGGCTCCTGCTGCGTCTTCCGAGTAGTTTCTGCTTCCTTCTCTGATTGCTTCGTTTCTGCTTCCTTCTCTGATTGCTTCTTCTCACGCTTCATCATTAGGGTTTTAAAACGGCGCTTTACTGTTTGACAAACATTACATGTACAAGTCTGTTTGTGTTTGGGACCCTTCCCACTTGGAGGCTGAATGCATACAATGCAGGAGCAGCCAGGTCTGTGTCGGGGGTGCTTTGTGGTGGCCTGGGATGAAGCCGGGAAAGCCTCACCCTCTCCTAAAATAGCTAGGTTGGCAAGAGTATCAAGCCCCTCCAAAGCTTCGACCCTATCAATGTCCTTCTTAGCATCCTTCAATCTCTTGGAAGTGACTACTGCTTCACAATCATAACAACAGATTTAAATTGGGCAGTTGAGAAGGAGATCATCGCCATTTGAACGAGATTCCATAAAAATCATTAAAATGCACATATACACAGCAACGCAGTGAAAATTAGATCATGATACTTGGTGCCACGCTTGAGGATAACTTAATTGCCTTGCATGACCATGAATTACCGAATTTCAATTACAGAGAAACAACAAAATGAAGTCACTATAAGCAATTTATACCTAAATTACAGGATGGAAGAAGATCTTCAAGCTGCTCTGCTGTCAATTCTTGAGCCACGGAACATGATGATCTGACAGCAGATGTAATAAAAAATGTTAGCAAAATGCAAGAGCCTGCAATTAACATGTATACAAGCATTCAAAGTTTATATAACTAGTCTATTTAAGGGACAAAAGTGAGGGCACTGCCTCGGTTCATTATTTACCATGTAAAGAATGACAAAGCTAACCGAACATGCACCAAAGCTAGTAATTCTGGGACCTCAAATGTACGTTTGAATGTTGTAAAGAAATTAAAAGAAAATACATTGGTTGCACCCTAGAATAATTTTGAGATCCCACAGGCTATCAAAGAGGATCTGAAGGATAAACCCAAGCCTGAATGAATAAATGGATTCAGATTATACCTTTCAGGATCCCATGTATTACTAGAACATGCCCATTTGGAGGGAAGAAGAGCATTGGCAGGCAATTTGCGCCACTTAAGACAATCTTCACATTGAACCCATTGAATCTTTTGACTGACAGAAAACAATCATATTAGAACTCTATATACTCAAAGACATGAAAGGACATCGTGAGTCCATTTTAATCATACGAAGCATTGTTATAACTACAAAAATTTCAAGAGAAAAAAAAAAGGATTATTCAGTTTACCTGGGCTGAAAAGGTGGGAAACATATTAATATTGAAGCATTATCCTAGGTTTACATCAGTGTTCCGTTAAATGGCCCACTATTGTAAAGTACAAATGGATTTACAACAAAACTTAAAGGTTGGAGAAATCATATATTTCTCAAGGCACAACCTGCTATAGTTATTCTAATACATACAAACTTCTAGGACAGTATATTTCTCCTAGCACAACCCACTAGTGTGAAATGTGAACAGATTATAACACATACAGGACAGATAGACGTCATATTCTCCTAGAAAAAACACCCAAACCACTAACATCTGTCATGGGAGACCTAAACATGTAAGGTGGTTTACGAATAGTGTGCGGGTAAATTTTAGAGAGAGACCTACAAGCCAAATCATGATGAATTAAAAAACAAAGAGCCCTAACTCAGAAGGCATAGTTGCAAGCTTGAGCAATCAGGATAGGCAATTTACCCCACATTATCCGATGCAAAAATTGTAGGCTTCCCAAGTACTGGCGCATCCTGTTATAGCAGCACACTTGTCATAATGATAAAAAGTAGGACTTAGGCCTCCTATCCACAATAAACTTTAGCTAACTCTATTCAGAGTATAAAATATATAAGAAAATGCATTACAAGTCCAATAAAAAACTTCAATGCAAACTCATTAAATGATAAAATAAAAATAATGAACAATAACATCTTAAACAATGTTTATTTAAAATCACACAAGGCATTATTTCAACCAATTATATCAGTCATGATCATACACAAAAAATAAAAAACCAAAGCATCTTTGTAAGAATTGGGCATTATTACACAGGCATTGTAAAATTGAAAGTCTTTCTGTGGGAATTTCATATTCCCTTGCAATTTTATATGTCAGAACCTAAAATTCAATGTGACTAAAGAAGGCAAGTTTCTACCAATAGAATGGCAACTCGTTACTAGTACTGGACCTTTCAAAGCACTGAACTATGCACTCCAAACATTCTCCCCTAAATGCTATGTAGCTAAATTCAAGTGGCCTCGCCCCCCACCAAAATAGTAGTCGTGCTCTGGTAAGTTAATAATCGCATTGTACCACAGAAGTTCTGTAAATGCTATGTAACTACTGCAAAGGGACAGGTAAGTAAATAAACCGATAGTTAACGGTATCAAAGTAATGAAAAACAAGCAACCTCTACCTTCACAATGACTTAAACACAAGCACATTGGAAGGACAGATGTCAGAATAGGGGATATAAAGAGTGGCTAAAGAAAGAAAACCACTCATTGGCATAAACTTATTTTGAGTATGGAAACAATCAAACCTCGTATTCCTCAAACTCAAATCCTTCAATTGCCACAATACTGGGAACCTGGTCAGGAGGGGGACGGAGCAATCCTTGTGCTTCTTCCCATGTTAGCTTCAATTCAATCATATCCTCATTTTCAATCCTCAGGCGCTTACTCTTGGAACCCAATGTGCTGCTCTTCCTCTTTCTGATAGAAGATTTTCCTTCAAGAACTTCTTTTGCTATGTAACCTGATTTGTCAACTTTAGACCAAGGACTAGGATCCAATTCAGCCTGGCAGATTGATGAAAAGCTAGGTGACCTTGTGTTAACTTAAAAAAGGCAATGAAGCAATTGCACTAGTACAAGGTTTGTAATACTAACATCTCCTTTTATAGAAACACCATTACCAGTCTGACTTGTTTCATTGTCCTGCAAAAATAACACAGATTTTAGAATTTATTTTGTTGGATTAAGTGTTG